GCTTCCAATGTAAAAACACTGGAAGATAAAAGCAGTGACAGACACCCCCAGGGGGGCTGGTACCACCGAGATGCTCAGGTGGGGAAGGAGCTGCTGCTAAATGAAGCGTTTAGTGACATGGGAGCCTTAATTACCCTTTGATATCAGGGTGATTAATGCAGCCAGCCTGGGAGGAGCCCTCCTGGCTGGGCCTCTGCACTGAGAAGGAGCTGCTGATGGGGCTGAGGAAGAGGAACAGCTCCCCAAGGGGTTCCCCCCACACATCAGCCCCAAGAGGATGTTCAGTGACTGATGCTTGACCTGGGCAGTGGTTGTGGGGAGAGTGGGTGGGAGCACAGCAGGAGCTGTGCAGAACTGACACCAGGATCTCAGAGGGGCTTCAGTTAGAGTGACCTCAAAGCCCACCCAGTGCCCCCCTGCATGGGCAGGGACCCCCCCCAGCAGCCCAGGCTGCTCCAAGCCCCATCCAACCTGCCCTTCAACACCCCCAGGGATGGGGCAGCCACAGCTTCCCTGGGCAACCTGGGCCAGGGGCTCCCCACCCTCACAGCCCAGAATTTCTCCCTCCCATCTCAGCTCCAGCTCCCTCTGCCAGCTGGAAACCCTTCCCCCTGCTCCCATCCCTCCCTGCCCTTGTCCCAAGCCCCTCCCCAGCTTTCCTGGAGCCCCTTCAGGCCCTGGAAGCTGCTCTCAGGTCTCCCTGGAGCCTTCTCTTCTCCAGGCTCAACACCCCAACTCTCCCAGCCTGGCTCCAGAGCTGCTCCAGCCCTCCCAGCATCTCCGTGGCCTCCTCTGGCCTCTCCAGCAGCTCCATGTCCTCCCTGTGCTGGGGACCCCAGCCTGGCCCCAGCCAACCCATTTACTGAACCCACACAGAAGCACCTGAAGGGTTTTCTTCACACACTCCAATAAATTTCACCTCCTGACAAAGGGGGGGGACAAACCCCAGCTCAGCACAAGCCCTTCCCAGGCAGTGCAGTGGGCCAGAGCAGGTGAGGACAGAGGAGCCCCCCAGGCCCCCAGCCAGCCCGGGTAGAAGCTCCAACCCCTGCCAAGAGTGAAAGGAGACTCCTGCTTGCTCTGGAGTGGGGAGGTTGGCTCTTGTTGCACATCTTTCTCCAGGAGGCAATTAGCAGGGCAAGGGAATTGTGCTGCAATGTGACCTTCAGCTCCAGGGGACACAGAGAGCTCTAAAACCCTCCCTGAGCTCAGACACTTCAGACACTTGTTTCACCTGCAGCTGCCTTGGGTTTTTTTTTTTAATAAAAAAATCCCCAGAGACCCATAAAGTACCTGGAAGGAGACAAGAGGCTTCTGTTTTCCAGGAGAAGCAAAGAAAAAAAAAAATACCAAGCCCTAAAACTAACAAAAACCCTGCAAATCTGTCAAACTAAGAGGCCAGAAGTGGAGCTGAAGCCAAGGGCAGCAGGGGGAGGTTCCCTGGTGCTGCAGGGACACAATGTCCCAGCCCCTGTGGAGACCACCAGGCCCTGCTGAAGGAGCTGCTGACAAGGGGGAAGAAATATCTCCCCATCCCAAGCCCAGCTGCTCTGCTTTCCATCACCTCCATCATTCCCTGGTTCCCATCAGCTGCCAGTGCTGGGGCCTGACAGCAGATTATCCAGCAGCAGGGGTGGGTTTGGTTGTTCCCTCAGCTTTCCAGAAGGTTTGTTTAGAGCTGGGGAGGTTGGAGAAGGTCCATCCACAGCTGGGCCATAAAAAGCCCTTCACCACCAGCACGAGATGGGATGTGCCAAAGATGATCTCCAATTCAAACCAGCCCAACACTCCCCCCCTCCCCCAGAACTGCTTTCCCTCTCCTCGCTTCAACCCAGATGTGTTTTCAATCTGCTTCCAAGACCTTCAGGAGAAGACAAATCGTGACCAGAAACCTCTTTTCATGCCAAAAAAGCAGCTTAATGCAAAAGGCACCTGGTGTGTTGAGCTGCAGAGGAGCCCCTGCCCCCAGCTCCAAGTGCACCCAGAGCCAGAGAAAAGGAACTGGAGGGTCCCAGGCACCCAGAAACTGCTCTGGAGGAGGGGAGGGCACTGGGTGGGCTTTGAGGTCCCTTCCAACCCATCCCATGGTTCCATGACATGATGTCACAGCCATGGAAAGCTGCAGCTGGATGTTCCCCCCCTCCCCAGAACCTTCAGGGCCTCCTTGGGGTACATCCCCCCACACTGGTGGTCCCAGAGCTCCCAGACCTGCCCTGCTCCCCACTCCTTCACCTCTTCCAGTCATGCCAGTGACCAAACCAGCTCTGGGGCAGAGGATGGAGCTCAGGCCAAACCCAGGGGTATTAATGGCTTCATAATGATCCCCCTGAACGGGGTGGGGGGGAGGAAGCTCAGCTGCTGGGAGAGCTTGTCCATCCTGTGCCTCAGGAGCTGCCAACCCTGCTCCAGGCACTCCACCTAGTGGTGTCCAGACCACTGGTAATTAATAACGCTAATGAAGGCTCCAGCCAGAGCTGATGGAGCAGCCAGGACGTGACCTGGAGACCTGGAAGGACCCAGGACGTGACCTGGAGACCTGGAAGGAGCCCTGTGCACCCCAAGGCAGGGCTGTGAGCCCAGACACTTCATCTCAAAACGTGCCAGGGGCTGCAAAAGGCACAGAAACAGAAACGAGGAGCCCGTGGTGGGACCACGAGAGGCTCTTTGGTTTAGAGGTGGCTCTTGATGTGGCTTGTTCTTCCTGCAAGGGCAGGAACCAACCGTGAAGAAGCTGAAGGCTCCAGCACGGCCCTGTCGTGACAGCAGCTGGGAGCAGCTGCCAGGAGCCACGAGGTGTCCCAACCAGCAGCAACTGGTTGGTTTGGGGTTTTGCTGATTGCTTTTCCAGGAAGGTGGGAAAAGGGCCTTCCAATCCTGGAATCACAGACCTGTTCTGCTTGGAAAAGCCCTTTAGGATCTCCCAGCCCTGCCCATTCCCCACTGCCCCGTGTCCCTCAGCACCATCTCCAGGGCTTGGAAACCCCCCCAGGGATGGGGACTCCCCCCCTGCCCTGGGCAGCCTGGGCCAGGCCCTGACAACCCTTGCCAGGCAGGCATTGTTCCCCAGATCCAACCTCAACCTCCCCTGGCACAACTTGAGGCCGTTCCCTCTTGGCCCAGGGCTTGTTCCTGGGGAGCAGAGCCCGACCCCCCTGGCTCCAACCTCCTCTCAGCAGCTGCAGAGCCAGCAGGTCTCCCCTCAGCCTCCTTTGCTCCAGGATCAGCACCCCCAGCTCCCTCAGCTGCTCCTCACAAGTTCTCCAGCCCCTTCTCCTTCTGCTCCAGCCCCTTCCCCAGCTCCAGGGCCCTTCCCTGGACACACTCCAGCCCCTCCATGTCCTTTTTGTCATGAAGGGCTAAACCTGACCCCAGGTTCTGGTCACCCAAGGTTGCCTGCAGGTGAGTTTCTCATCCCAAACCAGGCCAGACCATTCCCTCCAGCCACTGGGGACACAGGAAGAGCCACCTCTGCTGCCCACAGACCCACCAAACTGCAACCTGGATCATCCCTCACCTGCCACCACTTCCCAACAGGTTGGAGGCACCACCTCCTTTTCTTTCTCCCCTTGCAAAGAGCCTGAGGAGAAACTCAGCCTGGACAACAGGCTGGGGCAAACAGAAGATGAAGAGAATCATCCAGAAGGAGCTGGGACAAGAGGGAGGTTCTCTCCCCTCCCAGGAACACCTGAGGTGCTAGAGGGGTGGTCTGCAAGCACCAGATGGAGCCATGAAACCCCAGCAAAGGGAGGGTTTGGGCCACAGGGTTGTAGGTTTGCACTGTGAAATTGTCCCCTTGGGATCCCTCACCCTGCTCTCCTGCCCAGCCCAGCAAGGCTGGGGGCTCCTTACTCCTGCTGCCATCAGACCCAGGACCAGATTCCTCAGAGTCAGTGGCAAGAGATGAACAAGCTGGGCAGAAATTAAACTGCACTGGGGAGAAACTGGCCCAGAGTGCCCAGGAATGTTGTGGCTGCCCCATCCATGGAAGTGTTCAAGGCCAGGTTGGAGCAGCCTGGGCTGGTGGGAGGTGTCCCTGCCCGTGCAGGGGGTGGGACTGGATGAGCTTCAAGGTCCCTCCAACCCAACCCAGTTTCTGATTCACCAGAGAGTAAATAAACAAATAAAAGGCAGGGCTTTAAATCAAGCTTTCTGAGGGTGCTGAAGACCACCAGAGACCCCCACCCTGTTTCATTGGCCTCAACAAGCACCTGAACTTAAAAAGCAACCTGAGGAGCCTCAGTTCAGGTGTCCCAACTGGCAGATGCTGGAGGGATCCTGCTGTGGGGCAGGGCAGCTCCTGGTGTCACCCACAGGCTCAGGTGAGGTGACAGGACCTGCATTCTATACATCACATGGGAAAAAGCAAGTGAGGAACAGTCCCCTGACCATCCCTAAAGGGAAGGCAGGAAGGGCTGGTGGGAGGCAGGATCCCCTCTGTCACATCCCCACCCAACTGCAGACACTAGGAGAGCACAATCCAGTGAGGATTTAACTGGGAGGAACTAGGAAGGCAAAAGCCTGGAGGAGACTCAGCATGAGAACAAGAGGAGAAGTTGCCCCAAATTCCTCAAACAGCCCAAAGACCAGTCAGAAGAGCTTGGTGGGAGGAAAGCAAATCACAAGGGAAGATCCAGCAGGATGCATGGACTGAATTCCAGATGGTTCCAGGGGAGGCCATTCCTGAGGTCTCCCCAGCCCTTCCAACCCACACCCCAGAACAGAGCTGTCCTCCAGAGCAGCTTCACTGTGCCTGGGCTCACAGCTCTGGCTGCAGTGACACCAGGTCTTCAGTGAGGTTTTAACCACGTTCAGAAGGTCCCTCCAGCAACCACCCCCTCCTGGCCCTCAGCAGAGACCCTCCCAAGCCCAGGAGACACCTGAAAGGTGGAGCAGGGAGCAGCAGCAGCCTCCTGTCTCAGGAGGCCTTCAGAACAACGTGTTCAGGAGAGAAACCAGTGGGCAAGCTGCCCTGGCTGTCCTGCCATCCCCTCCCCACATACATACTGCTTCATGGCCATCAGCTTGGAGTCCATGCTCTCCTGCTTCCCCTTCATCACCTGGATGTCAGTCAGCAGCTTGGTCACGCTGTCCTGCCGAACCTTGATGTCTTCATTCTTGATGCTGGACACCTGGAGACACAGAAGGAAGAGCCCACTGAGGGTCCCTCCCTGCCAAACCCTTAGTGAAGCTCCTGAGTTGGTCCCACAACAAATCCCTCTCCCCCCCTGCAGTCACACCCGGGGCCCTCCTGCCAAGGGACCCAAACCAGCCACCCACAAAGAGTTTTCTGTTTGAAAACACCAGATCCTGCT